GGACGTGACCGTTGAGCTCGCGTCTTTTGTGCGTCTCGCGCGTTAAAAGAATTTAAACTTTTACACGCAGCGCAGCTCATCAATGTAATTTCCAAAACAGTGGACCAATCAGAAGACACCGGAGGCGGGGCAAGCGTTGCATGCTTTTGCTTACAGTAGCAGGTTGGCATGGCAACTTTTGTATTTGTGACCCTGGACCACAAAACCAGTCATAAGGGTCAATTTTTTTATTTATACATCATCTGAATAAATAAGCTTTCCATTGACATATGGTTTGTTAGGATAGGACAATATTTGGTCGACATACAACTATTTGATAATCTGGAATCTGAGGGTGCAAAAAAATCTAAATATTCGCCTTTAAAGTTGTCCAAACGAAGTTCTTAGCAATGCATATAACTAATCAAAAATTAAGTGTTGATATATTTACGGTAGGAAATTTACAAAATATCTTCATGGAACATGATCTTTACTTAATATCCTAATGATTTTTGGCATAAAATAAAAATCTATAATTTTGACCCATACAATGTATTTTTGGCTTTTGCTACTTACAGCTGGTTTATGACTGGATTTGTGGTCCAAGATCACTGAGATGCTGCCCTGCTCTTTCTCTTAATCAGCAGTGTTCTATTTACATTCATTATTTAAATCATTTGTTTACAGGAGATGCGAGTTATTATTTTCTACTTTTCACATTCCTTTTCGCATTATTTAAAATAATATTAATTTACAAGAGATACAAGTTATTTTCTACTTTTCACATGACAATATTTAAAATGTATTTTGTTTGCAAGAGATGCTGGTTATTTTCTACTTTTGACATGGCAATATTCATTTATTTTGTTTTCAAAAAAAAATGAAAGATAAGAAATGCACTCTTTCATTAGAAAAAAACCCCCACCTTTAATAGTTGAGTATATTTACAGTGCAAACCTTTAATGAACTATGAAAAAAAAAAAAACATTAAAAATAAAAAAATGTTAATAATCGTTCATTAATCGTAATCGAGGTAAAGTGTTCAATTAATCGAGGTTTTGATTTTCGGTCATATCGCCCAGCCCTAGTTTATATCCTGTGTGTTTGTGTGTGTAGATTCTGATCGAGCTGGAGACGGCGCTGCTGGACGATCAGCATCACTGGTATAAGCTCCAAACACACGACCTGTCCTCGATGCCGCTGCCGAACCCCTCGCCCTGCATGCAGAGACGCCTCCTGCACGGAGAGAGCCCCACACGCAGGTTACAGAGTACGTACTGTTACAGCAAACACAAGCACACACTCTCAGGAAGAAATACAAAGCTGACCCTAAGGTACAAAAGCTAGACGGTACGTCTTTATACTATTTTTTTTTCTCCTTAGTGGCACATATTAATATTAGTGCTGTCAAACGATTAATCACAATTAATTGCATCCAAAATAAAAGTTTTTGTTTACATAATATATGTATGTGTAGTGTGCATATTTATTATGTATATATAAATACAAACACATGCATGCGTATATTTATGAAAAAGATGTTAGGTTTATATATTAAATATATTTATATATAATATAACATATAAATATAAATATATAAATGTATATACATGTACATATTTTCAAAATATATACAGTATGTGTGTGTATTTATATATACATAATAAATATACACAGTATACACACATATATTATGTAAACAAAAGCTTTTATTTTGGATGCGATTAATCGCGATTAATTGTTTGACAGCACTAATATTAATATGTTGGTGGTATTGCATTACAAGTAACTCAAGTTACGTAATCAGATTACTTTTTTCAAGTAACTAGTAAAGTAGCGCATTACTTTTAAATTTACAGTAAAATCTTTGAGTTACTTTTTGAATTGTGTAACGTAAATTTTAAGAAATTGGAGGCACTTCCTTCAGCCTGAGGCTTATTCATTTCACTTTTGGTGTGAAAGGGCTTTTAGAGTTGCCAAAAATTGAACTTTTTTTTTTAATAAGCAAGCCCAGCCCAGGGGACAAAAAGTATTGAAAAAGTAATGTAATGCATTACTTGCATTAAAGGGATAGTTCACCCAAAAATGAAAATTCATAATTTACTCATCCTCAAGTTGCTGGTACCCATCGACTTCCATGGTATTTATTTATTTTTTCATACTTTGGAAGTCTACTGTCAACTGTTTTATGAAATATCTTCTTTTGTGTTCAGCAGAAGATAGAAATTCATACAGGTTTGAAACAAGGTGAGGGCGAGTAAATGATGACAGAAATTTCATTTTGGGGTGATCTATCACTTTAAGTGTTCACACTACAGTTGAATGTGATCTCAATCTGATTGTGAAAAGCAAAAATCACATTGAATCACATTTTCAAATGGAGTCTGGACCATTTTTATTTGTGGAAATCAACTTCTGTGTGATTTGTTTGATTTTTACGTCAGTCATTCATCATGATTTTGTGTTTGGTTTACTATTTGTGTAAATCATAAAATAATGTATGAATTGCACTGTATTACATAGAGATATGCAAAAATACACACATACTGTTCAAAAGCATTTGGTCTGTAAGATTTTTTAATGTTTTTGAAAGTATTCTCTTCTGCTCACCAAGGCTGCATTTATTTGATCAAAAATACAGTAAAAATAGAAATATTGTGAAATTTTATTACAATTTAAAATGTCTGTTTTCTATGCGAATATATTTTAAAATGTAATTTATTTCTGTGATTTAAAGCTGAATTTTCAGCATCATTACTCCAGTCTTCAGTGTCACATGATCCTTCAGTAATCACTCTAAAATGCTAATTTGCTGCTCAAGAAACATAATTATCATTATCACACTTGTGATGAATCCTTGCTGAATAAAATGAATATTATTAACATACTGATAAAATTATAAATAAAAGTATTGATTACAAAGTATTAAGTAATTAAAAAAAACGGACCCCAAGCTTTTGAACGGTAGTCTGTTATCTGTTTAAAATGTAAAGAACTTGAAGTCTTTGAAAATGAATTTTAAAAATCAGAATACGAAACTTTGCCAGTTTGAATGTAGGCAATCTGCTCTGGTACAAATGTCCTGTATATTCTGTATCGTTTTTATGTCCAGAACTGATATGATCATATTTTATGTATGTTTGTTTTTGTTGATGTTTCTTGTTTTCATGTTTTGTTTCCTTCAAAAAATATTACTGTCTATCCACCACTGACACATTTCCAGACAAGGGCCCATATTTTTACAACTCAGGTAACTTTGCCCTGCTTGCTCCAGCTAGCATGCGATTGGCCAGCAGTGTGATTTTACTCTCCTCTACACTCTCAAAGTGTGATCTCCCCTCACTTCCGCCTCATGCTCTTCAGAAACCCACGCTGTCCCTCACAACCTGCATGGAGCTGCTGACGCCCATCGCTGCTGCTACATGCCACCAGTCCTCATTGTACAGCTTATCTGCCTGTTTAGGCCTGATCTTCACCATTACAATATAAAGAAAAGCAGCCTAGTTAACAGTCCTGAGTCACGCTTTTCCCAGCCTCTCGCAAACCTTTCTGTGGTTGGTGTTTGCTGTGTTTCACTGTTTTGATTTCAGACTAAATGATAGTAAACCTCACGCCGCTCGGTTCTGCTCACACTGATCTTGTTTGTAATATTTGAGTCTGAACACAGTGTGTTATCAGTGTGATTTTGAACATGTTTTCCAACACACAGTCACGTTAAGAGGGTCTTTTCTTCATTATGACTCGTGATCTCTTTCTCTGTTTCTCTCTCTCTCAGGGTCACAGAGAATCAGTGACAGCGAGTTCTCTGATTACGACTGTGAAGACGGGATTGGTGTTATCTCAGGTACAGCTAAGTCACCTGCTTTAGCGCCGCACTGTACTTACAAAACTGAAGACTTGAGCCTGCTTGAAAGCATTTTACTCACTCCTTTTCAGTTAAATTCATAATTACATGCATATCAATACATTTATAATATAACTATTAGAAGTATTTGTAAATATCACAAAACATATACAGAGTTCTGGCATGAAACTGTAGATGGCGCAGTCCGATAGGTCTAACTCAATCTGACCTAATGACATCATTATCACATGGCAGCTGATTGGTTCTCTTCTGTATCGGTAGCCAATGAGCTCGCTGCTGAGCTCGTTGCTCAACATTCACATATATTACTAGTGCTTGCCGTAGCAGTTGCAGCTTGCTTCAGAAACCCTCCACCTTCCCCAGCTCCACCTGTATAGATCTGCTACGAGGTGATTCATGTATGCTATACGGGGATTATGTCATGTATGTTATATTTGCAGCAGCAATATTTCTTACATGCTCACAGCAGTATGTTGTGGATGTATTGGCAGTAGCAAGTCTCAGTACTGATAGCAGATCTGTTCCGTCAAGACCAAATACATTAACATTGTCATGTACATTACCATGCCAATCCCTCCGAGAGTTGTCATGACAGAAATATATTTTAGGGCTCTTTTTGCACTTTTGTGCACACTTTGCACCATAATATGAGTGAAATGTAATTCTATACAATACTGTTCAAAAGTATGGGGTCAGTAAGATTTTTATATGTTTTAGAAAGAAGCCTCTTCTGCTCACCAAGACTGCATTTATTTGATCAAAAAATACAGTAAAAACGTTAATATTGTGAAATATTTTTACAATTTAAGACAACTCGTGTCTATATAAATATATTGTAAAATGTAATTTATTCCTGTGATCAAAGCTGAATTTTTAGTATCATTACTCTAGTCTTCAATGTCACATGATCTTTCAGAAATCATTCTAATATGCTGATTTATTGCTCAAGAAACATTTATTATTATTATCAATGTTGAAAACAGTTGTGCTGCTTCCTATTTTTGTGGAAACAAGGATTCACAGATAAATAGAAAGTTCAAAAGTACAGCATGTATTTGAAATAAAAATCTTTTTGTAACATCATAAATGTCTTTACCATAACTTTTGATCAATTTAATGTGTCTTTGTTGTTCTTTCAAAAAAAAAATCTTACTGACCCCAAACTTTTGAACACACAGCCAAACACTGATTTAATGGGGCACAATCTGATCAGAATAAATTAATAAATGTCAGTTGTGTCTGTAATGATCTTTTCAATGTCTGATCGTACACGGCTTGTCCTGTTCACACATGCTTATCAACAAATCAAACTAAAGGATATTGTCAGAGAGAAGATTACTGTGAACTTTAGTGTCCCGACTCAGCACAAGGAAAATCCTCACCGTCATTTCACACTGACCGCATTGGTTCTGTTCACTTTTTAAGGTGTTTTCATGTTCCTGAATGAAGTGTTGATATCACTGTAAAATAAAGTTCAGCGTGGTAGACCACATACAGTTCTGCTAAAAAAGTATTTGGACACCTAAAAATGTCTGAATGCCATTGTATTAGATGCTACTTTGCTCCTATTTTTCAGTGAATGTATGATTTATAATTTGGTTGTTAAATGGCATTGCTGAAGTAAATGTGTGTTGTGTTGTGCTTGCCTCAGATAACCGGCACAATGGCAGGGATTTCCAGAGCTCCACTCTGTCTGTCCCTGAGCAGGTGATGTCGTCCAATCACTGTTCCCGATCAGACATGGTATGTTATATTTGCAGCAGCAATATTTCTTACATGCTCACAGCAGTATGTTGTGGATGTATTGGCAGTAGCAAGTCTCAGTACTGATAGCAGATCTGTTCCGTCAAGACCAAATACATTAACATTGTCATGTACATTACCATGCCAATCCCTCCGAGAGTTGTCATGACAGAAATATATTTTAGGGCTCTTTTTGCACTTTTGTGCACACTTTGCACCATAATATGAGTGAAATGTAATTCTATACAATACTGTTCAAAAGTATGGGGTCAGTAAGATTTTTATATGTTTTAGAAAGAAGCCTCTTCTGCTCACCAAGACTGCATTTATTTGATCAAAAAATACAGTAAAAACGTTAATATTGTGAAATATTTTTACAATTTAAGACAACTCGTGTCTATATAAATATATTGTAAAATGTAATTTATTCCTGTGATCAAAGCTGAATTTTTAGTATCATTACTCTAGTCTTCAATGTCACATGATCTTTCAGAAATCATTCTAATATGCTGATTTATTGCTCAAGAAACATTTATTATTATTATCAATGTTGAAAACAGTTGTGCTGCTTCCTATTTTTGTGGAAACAAGGATTCACAGATAAATAGAAAGTTCAAAAGTACAGCATGTATTTGAAATAAAAATCTTTTTGTAACATCATAAATGTCTTTACCATAACTTTTGATCAATTTAATGTGTCTTTGTTGTTCTTTCAAAAAAAAAATCTTACTGACCCCAAACTTTTGAACACACAGCCAAACACTGATTTAATGGGGCACAATCTGATCAGAATAAATTAATAAATGTCAGTTGTGTCTGTAATGATCTTTTCAATGTCTGATCGTACACGGCTTGTCCTGTTCACACATGCTTATCAACAAATCAAACTAAAGGATATTGTCAGAGAGAAGATTACTGTGAACTTTAGTGTCCCGACTCAGCACAAGGAAAATCCTCACCGTCATTTCACACTGACCGCATTGGTTCTGTTCACTTTTTAAGGTGTTTTCATGTTCCTGAATGAAGTGTTGATATCACTGTAAAATAAAGTTCAGCGTGGTAGACCACATACAGTTCTGCTAAAAAAGTATTTGGACACCTAAAAATGTCTGAATGCCATTGTATTAGATGCTACTTTGCTCCTATTTTTCAGTGAATGTATGATTTATAATTTGGTTGTTAAATGGCATTGCTGAAGTAAATGTGTGTTGTGTTGTGCTTGCCTCAGATAACCGGCACAATGGCAGGGATTTCCAGAGCTCCACTCTGTCTGTCCCTGAGCAGGTGATGTCGTCCAATCACTGTTCCCGATCAGACATGGCCCGCACACGCTCGCGCTCACCCAGCGTCCCTCCACTGCAAAGGTACAAACAAACGCATAAGAGCCGTTCGTTATGGGTCAAGAGGTCATATCATAAAACATACTCCAGACTTCCTTCCAAAGACAAAAAAAGATGATTTATTGAAACAATTCTCATTCTTCAACTTCCTGACATCAAATGGATAAATTAGGGATGCACGATATTATCGGACCAATATCGGAATCAACAGATAATGGTTTTAAATGTAAATATCAGCATCGGCCCGATATTAAAAATTATGCCGATATGTATTGCCGATAAGAGGAATACGTTAACTCACATGTGCTCAGGGTGTGCTAGCGATTAGATCACGTCAACAGTGTGGCTCATTCTTGAAGCAAAGTTTTGCCTGAATGATGATTAGATTCACTGTTTTGGATCACTGCATTTAAACTGTGAAAGCACGTACAGAATGACGCGTTCATGTATGATAGAGTAAACAGTAATAGCATGTGCAGTAGCAGCAGCGGCAGCCTCCCCCGGGTCCTAATGCCTGCTCAGTAAGGAGTTTTAGGCTGTTGGCCTACTTCTAATAAAAGAAAGAAAAATACACAAATAATATTTAGACTGTGTTTCTGATTAAATAAAGCAGTTATTGATGCCATTAAATTATGAGTATTTTTTTATTTAAAGGTAAGAAGCTATAGCTTACATGAACAAAAAAAATCACAAACATGACATTTATATTAAATAATTTTATATATACTGATTTATTCATTAATGTGTAATATGTTATATTTTTTAAACAAATTATGAGCTCTAAAAGATTTTCAGAATTTTTACAACTCTTTTGCTTTAGACCATTTGCAAATGTTAAATCTTAAAATAAAAAGTTAAAGTTACCACTGCATCTTTCTGAAAAAAAAAATGCAGATGAATGAAAAATGTTTTTTTATATAGTTTATTTATAGTTATTTTCAAATCTTCAATGTACTGTCATTATAAAA